GGGCGCGCGCTCCGGCGGGGTCTGGCGGGGCGTGCGGGGGGGAGGGTCCTGTGGGAAGGGAAAGCCTTCGCCGGCGACAGCCGGAGGTGAGCCGAATTATTTCCAAGCAGCTGTTTTCATTCCGCTGGCTGTCCCGGCAGCGTGCCATTGTGAATGGTTTTCATCCCGTGCCGAGACGTGTATGACATACATCGCCGGCTTGCTTTACGTACGACTAGCGCTAATTTCCGTGGCATCTAGGTGTTAAAAGATTTTTAAAAGGGTGTAATAATAGTGTCAATGCAAGTAGTCTTCATCATTCGGTTTCCTCCGGATCGCTAAGGTATGCAACGAAATCATCCCAGTGCTGGAAGCGTTTTCCTCGCACCGTTAAATGAAAGTCAAACGGTGGCGATGCGTTAGCGACGCTGCCGCAGTCTGCAGGGGTTTTTTTTTAACTCCCTGCTGCTCTTTGCCATTTTGTGCAACAGGCAAACATCTACGAAATTGCGTGGTGGAACTGCGTTAGGGAACCGATGGGGCTGAAAAATAAACTAGAAGGAATAATTACTGTTTGGATCAGTTTCACATCCCGTTTCACCGTATTCACCGTATGATTCTGCAGCAAAAAATCTCTTGTCTCTTTCTTAATTTTTTTTTTTTTGTTAAGTGGTGTTAGCATAAGTGTATGGCAGACTGGCCTAAAATTTAACTAAGCTAGCTATCACAATATTTAAAATACATAACTGGTATGCATTGTTGGCTGCAAGACAAATGCAAATAAGAAACCAGCATAGTGTGCTAATTACCTAAGTTATATTTGCTTGATGTTATAAGATGTTGTTAGCAACAAAGACGAGAATTTCTTTATAACTTAAGTAGATAATGTGCTCGGTGGCAGAGGGAAGCACGGAGTAGCATCTGCCCTGTCTGTACCAGTCCCATTAACTTTAGTTGAATGGATGCATGAAATGAAACTTAAAATGTCTACATGACTAAGGCCAGAGTTTTTTCAGTTATGTTGCTGCAGGAAAAATAATTAGCTTTTAGTTTCAATTGGAACCCTTAACAATTAGGTTACTTAACAGTACAGAATATTAAAATGGAAATGCAAAGCAAGTATTTCTATTGTTGCGCACACACACACAAAAGATGATGTTTTATTTTTTTCTTGGAAACTCCTTAGACGGAAAGAAGCAGCTCCTTGCCCAAATGTGCAATTCTAGAAGAAAGTTCTTATGACTCAAACTTGTGTTTGAGGGGAAGAGTTGCTAAGTAGTTACTGAAGTTACGTTTCCTCCAATAACCACACTTTTCAAGTTAATTTTCTTTCACCTGCAAAGCGGGCTTTTTTGTTTTGTTTCCTGTCCAGCAAGTTAGATTGTTATTTCTGGGGGGACATAAAATACATGTAAAGGACATTTAGATTATGGAGACAAATGGTCTCCACTAATTCTGCTGCCTTGTGTCTACCTTGCAGTCTTGTCTTTTCCCCTTTGCTTTTGTGCTTTTGATAGGCAGCTTCACCTTCAACACCTTCTGGTGATGAACAGCAGGCATAGCAGTAGCTCACAGGAATGGTGTTGATGCTGTTTTCAATTTGGATTTCTTTAGTAAGGTTGTTCAGAACATTGTGAAATCTGGTAAAACTTCACCTGGGCTGTGCTTACTTTCATTATCACCGCATCATTCTGACATGGCCATCCATGCAGGTCAGAAAGACTGGGTGGATGTGACAGGATAGAGGTAACAGCTACAACTGGTTTTACTCCTCTTCCTTTGACTTCTGGGAAGATACACCGGCTAGCGAGGAAAAGGAGTATGACCTTAAGTCTGGTCTGTACTCCAGTCGGCTGGCTAGACACAGATCATTTCAGCGTCATTCAGCTGCTGGAGAAGTTACATTTGAGCGTATTGCTTAGCATAAGATAGCATAGGAAAATGTTAAGAGAATAAAAAAAGATGATAATGATAGGCTTACTAAATGCAGTATGCGGGTGTTCCGCCCATATGTCTATTTTTAGCTTTAGTTATACTAATAGTATTTTGTATGCCTGGAATCATTGGATAGAGGACTGAGGGAAAAAGAACTGAATGAGGGACTTTATGGCCAGGAGACTAGCCAGTGGATATATTTGTTGTTCTCTATAGAGTGGATAGTGTTACATTATCAGGAGATACATTACTTATATTTTGTCAAACAAGATTAAATTAGATAATTGGATGTTAGCAGTATGTTACTATGAGGACTCTAGGCTAAGCTGGTGTTCTTGCATTGAACTTCTGTTCTTAGAGAGGTTCCCATCTATGAAAGCACTGAAGCCTTCTTTGAAATATAAACTTTGAACTTATGTTGAATTTCCTTTGCTTACAAGCTAGCCACCCATTTCTGTAGTTTTGAGGGTTTTTTGAGGAACTTTTAGCTGAAATTCAAGTATCTGAGGTTTGTCCTGTTTCCTGTACGTTCTTTTCTCACTTACTTGCACAATCACTGCTTTTGTACATCCTTTTTTTTTTTTTTTAAATGATGCTGCTTTCATATCTTACATTGTGTGGCATTGTTTTTGATTTCTGCATTGTAAAAATATATGAAAGAAATGTACTTTTTTTCTGTTGGTACAAAAGTCATGGCTTTTTTTTAACTTGAGCTTTCATAGTTCCCAGCTTTCATTTGGGGCCAATGTTCATCCTCCAAGATTTAGTATTAATATAGAGGGTGTTTTGTGATTGAATTTTGATTACTCCCACCTAACTATCCATTGCAACACATTTCAGACAATAACATGGTGTTGGCTTTCTATGGAATCATCTACATACATCTTTCGTATGTACAGGTTAAATCTAAAGGGTGTAATCTTGCTCTCCTTTGAGACCTGTTGCACCAAAAACCTCAAATACTCTTAATTTTTTAATGTATGTGTATGGTTTCCAACTGGCATCCAAAATACCTTGTAAAGATAGGTGATCAAGTAAGCTTAAAAGCATACAAAAAGTAAGAAGAGAAACATAATATTAATAGTTTACCATTGAAAATAGCCTGAGGCTAGGCAGGTATTTGAAGGTTGTATCATAAAAATAGTTAATAGAAGCTTACTGCTTATACCCAGTTTATTTTTAAATAAAATAATACTTTTTTTCTGTAGGTAATATATCCTCCACATTCAAAACTCACAGATAAAGAGGTAAGCCATAGTTGCTGTATAAGTATATAATTTGGTTTTAGTTCTGTAATTTCAGGAAATATAATGGCGCTCTCTTTTTTTCCCCATCCTCTAGAAAACCAATATTTGCTATTTGTCTTTTCCAGATTCTAATTCAGGTACGTGCTTCCTTCACTTTGTAGTCATCTGTTGTTGGACTAAGCTATGTTAAAAAACATAGAATTTACAGCATAAATTTATGGGTTTAGATTAAATACTTATATTAATATATCTTCATTGTTATTACAATACAGAAAAGTTGCAAATAAGGTTAAATATAAAACTATGTTGCAGTAAGGTCAGAAAACTGGGGTGTTTTTTTTTTATTTTATGTAAATGAAACACCAGGCATGTGAATGTATAAGACCTTCCAGATGACATACATGCACGTTTCAGAATACTTTGCAAGAAAGAATGAACATCTTAATCTCACTTTTAAACAAAATAACAGTATTGTCATTGCAGAGAGAAGTATAGGCACAGAATCTGAATGGTTCAATAAAGCAAAGGGAAGGGATATGGAACCATCTTCTCATGAAGGAGTAAATGTATATTTTCTAAATTCATAACAGTGAAACTGACTTTTAAATTCAAAAGCATTTAGAAAGAACAGCTGTGAAGGGAAAACCTAGGCTATCTTACATCTTCTCTATTCTTGAAGCTTCTGTTGCTATGTGTGATTCTGCTTGCTAAATTCTTCTTTAATCTACACTTACGCTGCCCTGCTGCCAAAGAGAAATTGCAGGCATGTAGCTGGTGACTTGGACCACCTGCAAAAAGATATGGCAGAAGTACAGACACTTCCTTTCACATTTATTTCTTTAGAAAAGTCAAACCCTGTAGTAACAGACTTGTCCCTATACTGCTCTTAACTCTATGCTTTTTGTTGCCCTGCAGCATAACAACTCTGATATGGCGTGATGCAGATGTGTGCTTTTAAGATGTGTACGAGCTCTCTCTTACATAATTTTACTAAGTATCTTGCCTAATTTTTGCCCTTTGTCTTGATGTCATTAAGATTAATGTATTTTCTCTGTTCTCGATATCGTGTACGTAAATAGAGGAAGAGCTGCTTTCCATTATTGAAAGAGCAGATGAGTTAACTGTATCTCCTTATTACTCTCATTGTCAATGGTTATAAATCTTGTCCGACCTTCAAAAGGTGTATTGAAGGTACAAAATAATGTGTTAGGACAGAGGCTGATTTTTTAAAATTTTTTTGTTTTTTTTTTTTTCAAATAAGACTGGCAGTAAAGTTATTTTGGGCAGAATAGGCATATGTAAGTAGGGTTTACTTTCAGCAACTTTACACCCCACCTTTTTGCTTTTTATAATGTTCATATTAAGGTTCTTGATCGTTCTTGGTAGGCTGAGGTTTCAAATTCTGTAGAGGGATTACCTACGTAAAATCTGTGTTCTAGAAATTAGCTATGAGTGTATGCTGTTATAATTTATTTTTTCATCGTAAGCCGTAATATAAAAATGAAATCTTTGTGTAATATAACAGTGAAGGAAGTTATTAGCTTGCAGCTAAATTTACCGTCAGTCTTTCTTAGGTTTTCATAGCTCAAAAGATTAATTCAACAACTTTTTTTGTCTTTTACAAGTATGGATAGATACCATTCTAGGACCTGTACTGGCTATGATTGTAGGGGGGAAAATGGATTGAATCAGGTAGTAGATCATGATGTTTTTTGTGGTTTTTAAGCTTTAAGTTTCCTGGTATCTTTAAAATAGTGCTTTTGCCTTTTCTTCATGGATAGTTGAAGAAAGAATAGACATTTACCAATCTTTACAAATTCTGCATACCGAAATAGCTTGTTACATAAGAAGCTGTCATATTCCGAATGATATTTCAACATATTAATGATTAAGGGTGATTTACTTCTAGGTCTTCTGTGTATAGCTCTTTAATAGCTTTTTTTTTTTTTTTTGCTTTGGATGGAGGGAACTAGCTATGAAAACTTGGAGCAAATATTTAGTGCTTTGTTATTGGCATGTGCTGTGTTTTTTCTTGTTATGATTGGATCCATATTGCTAAGCACTTGCTTTAGTACCTGTTTGAATTGGATGGTTATCCCGTCATACAATGTTTTGCTACTTTTGGTTTTGTCTTGGTGCATTGTGGGGGTTTCCTGCTGCAACTTCAAGGGGTTCTAAGACTCAGACCTGAATGCTCTGATCATGCCAGTATTAATCATAGAACCATAAAATCATTTAGGTTGGCAAAAGACCTTTAAGATCATCAAGTCCAACCACTAACCTAACACTACCACGTCCACCACTAAACCATATCCCTAAGTGCCATGTCTACATGTCTTTTAAATACCTCCAGGGATGGGGACTCAACCACTTCCCTGGGCAGCCTGTTCCAGTGCTTGACAACCTTTTCCGTGAAGAAATTTTCCTAATATTCCATCTAAACCTCCCCTGGTGCAACTTGAGGCCATTTCCTCTTGTCCTATCGCTTGTTACTTGGGAGAAGAGACCAACACCCACCTCACTACAACCTCCTGTCAGGTAGTTGTAGAGAGCGATAAGGTCTCCCCTCAGCCTCCTCTTCTCCAGGCTAAACAACCCCAGTTCCCTCAGCCGCTCCTCATAAGGCCTGTGCTCCAGACCCTTCACCAGCCTTGTTGCCCTTCTCTGGACACGCTCCAGCACCTCAATGTCTTTCTTGTATTGAGGGGCCCAAAACTGGACACAGTATTCCAGGTGTGGCCTCACCTGTGCCACGCTGCCAGTTGCACAGCTGGTGAATTTGACTGAGGGTTTGGGCTGTCTGTGGTTGCTGTAGCAGTATGTATGTGGCTGAAAGAGAAGAAGGTGAAATTGAGCTTTTACGTCTGTAGAATAGTTATCTGGAGAATGGAGCTCTGCCTTACTGTTCAGTCAGTTAGCACTGGCTGATGTAAAACAGGACAGCTGTGAAGAGTCCAGATGATCAGTAGTGACTTCATGATTTTTTTTCCTGGAGGTCTTTGCAAATTACATCCAAAAGCTGTAAGGGCAAAGCACTAATGAAGAAGTTAGATTCAGTATGGAGAAGCAAGTGTCCTTTGCCAGCTGGAAACTTACTGCTATAACAGTAGCTGTAAGTTTAATAGTAGATTTTTTTTTTTTTTTATAGTCACTTACATGAATGTTTATATTGTTGCGGGGAAGACAGTCTGCTTACCACAGGCTGGCAATGCTCAGAAGGTTGTCTTTCAATTGATTGTATTCCTGTTAATAACACTGCATTCCAAAGGCACTTTTTTTTCCACAGGTTTGCTACAATGAGTAACGTACCTGCATGTTCTTAAGATTCTAGCAGTCCCCCTTGTCACTGTTCCCATGAACAGCACATTCTGTTTGGCTTATATAGCTTCTACTTGAGCTAAAGGGTTTGTGGAGCGTCTTCTCTTCTAACAGCAGAGAACATTTGTAATGGCGCAAACGTAGCCACGAGAGTATCGGTGATACAAGTTCTGATACTTCAGTTCTCATGTTCTGCCTGGAGAAAGTTTCTTTGATACCTGATACAAACTTAGCCCAAATTTATTTTCGGACTGCAAACAGTCAATATACTTAGTTCCATTCTTCTTTCAGAAATTAATTTTGATAGAAATGAAGGGAAACTTCACTCCCTGGCAGTATAACTGGGAAGCAATGCTCAGTTTCGCTCAGGTTTCTGCAGTTAGTTTTGCAACTTGCAAAAATACTGAGTCCTAGGCCTGCACATGGAGTTACCAGAGATCAGCGTAATATGCTCTTACGGTGTGACTTATGTAGAACTGTTTGGTGTCAAAACAAGCTTAAGTGCAGTCATTCAATGGGGAAATGACATACGGTTAAGATAATCAGAACTATACGGGCAGACCAATAAAATGTGTAAAACAGTAGGAGGACAGCCATTAGTAGAGCTGTTTAAGGACATGACAGTCTGAAAAATTCACTGTGAGGCAGAGTGAACTTTTCTTTTCCTAGTTGAAGGTAGGCTATTAATTGTTGCCAAAGATGCCAAATTGTTCACTTATAAAAATACAAATATGTAAATGGTTGCAATAGCAGGGCACAATAGCAGTGCAAGATAAATGAACCAAAACTATTTTACCTCTCTGGCTGTAGACAAGTCCTCATGTTAAACAAGGCTCAAACTCAGAATACTGTCTATTTGTTGTTTATCTCTTCCCCCTATGTAGGTTGTCTTGGGGACACACAGTTTTGTTTTAGATTTCGACGGTCTCCTGGAAGGAAAGTCTCATTGTGTTGTTTTCTGGACCAATTGGATAGAGATCTACCAGTTTACTTAAAGGTTGGAAATAAGAAAAAAATTAAGTTAATATCTTCTGGGTAATGTTAATTTATGGGTCTTCACGCTTAAATTTAATGCTTAAAAAACAAAATCTCTGAACTGGATGTCCTGAAAGACAAAGCTCAGTAAATGCTTTTTGTAGCATGTCATTGTCATAATAATTAATTAATAATTAGTTCCGTTAAGTATTCTTTAAGTTTTCTTACTACGAGTTTTGGACTGCAAGGAATTAAATTGAAGAGCAGACCTATTTTGTTACTGACTAGAAGCCTGTAGACAGAATTGTAAAAACCATTACCTTATGGAAATCTGAAGTGCTTTATAACTTTAAAAAAAAAAAAAAATAGTTGAGATGTCTCTCTCTGTTTTCACCCCTCATTTTTTGAAGATGGAGCAGTTATCTAAAAGAGGTAGTGGTCAAAAAGTTGTTCTCAGCATGTCCTTATGGAATATTGAGGCCTTAAACTATGCTAGTGGGAGTCTGGTTCTCGAACTCGATTCTGTAGAATCATAGAATCGTTTAGGTTGGAAAAGACCTTTAACATCATCAAGTCCAACCTTTAACCTAACACTACCAAGTCCACCACTAAACCAGTTAAGGGTAGAGTAATAATTAATTACATGTTTCCTGGCTTGGTGGCTGGATTATTTTTTAATGAAAGTAAAGCTAGAATAGAATCATTAAGGTTGGAAAGGACCTCTAAGATCATCAGTCCAAACATCAGCCGAACACCACCATGCCCACTAAACCACGCGCTGAAGCGCCACATCTACATGTTTTTTTGAACACTTCCAGGGATGGTTCCTCTCTGGGCAGCCTGTTCCAATGCTTGACCACTCTTTCAGTAAAGAAGTTTTCCTAGTATCCAATCTAAACCTCCCCTGATGCAACTTGAGGCCATTTCCTCTCTGTTTTTAGATCTATTAATTTAGATCTGTTCATGTGGCAAATACTTGAATTCCTGTTTGTATGAAGGATGAAGCTGATGTTTTATTTTTGAAATGTGAGAGCATGCTTCCTTAATATTCCAAGAATCTTTTATAAAACTAATACATTGAAAGACTAGGTTTTATCTTTTCAAGTCAGGGCTTTAAGGTTTTTAACTGCTAAAATCTTTTTAGTGCTACTTTGCAAAATTATGACTGTTGATTTATTCCTCGGGAAATTAATTCTATTTTTGCTTTCATGGTGTGTCAGGAGAATATAGATATGAAAATAGTAAAGCCAGAAAGCACAGCTGTTTCCACACAGTGGTGTTTTCTCTTTGAAGTACTTATTTTAATAAAATGCCAATAAACAGAGTAATCCTTCTAGTTTATTGTATCTAATCAACTTTGGAGCTTACAGGGAAATAAGGTTTTAAAATCCATATTGAATGCTTCATAAAGAAGGACAGTATCAGGTTGTATTGAATTCTTTCCTTTCTTTTGCAGAAAGATCCAGCATATTACTATGGCTATGTACATTTCAGACAAGTTCGAGACAAATCATTAAAAAGAGGCTATTTCCAGAAGGTAATTTCAGTTCTTTTAGGAAAATATTAATTCAGAAATTAATTGTTTTTCAGTGACCTCAGAGGAGACAGAAGGAGTATCTTGCTCTCTTAACTAAATTCTTTGTTGATTATAGTAAATTGGTCTAATTTTACATCAGCTATGCTATGTTCCAGCTGCACTGTCAGAACAGAAGGGGTTTTTTTTGTGTTTAAAAATAAAAGTTGGGAAATTTTGGGAGTTGTTTGTTTGCAGTTGCCTGTAGTCAAACATGTGTTTGGCGTGCATGTGTGAGAAAAATCCCACTTGACGTTCTCTGAGAATAACCAGTAGAACTCCAGTAGAACTGAGGGAAAGGGTTAACTTAAAATTATATTTTTGTTTTGTTCCTCTTTATTCCAGTCGCTCGTCCTCATCAGCAAACTACCTTATGTCCATCTGTTTCGCACCATGCTTAAGCAAATAGCACCAGAATATTTTGAAAAAAGTGAAGCTTTCCTGGAAGCAGGTAGTGGAACTATTATGTTGTTCTGGAAGAGCTCCTATAATACACATTCTTCTTTGGAGAAATAACAGACAACACTGTCACATTCTAGTTTGCAGTTTTGTCATCTCGTAGGGTAGAGGGTTGAAACTTCAGCAAACTGGCTTGATTTCTAGATCATTGAACAGAGCAAATCTAGTTTTGGATCTTCCATGGGAGAGTTGAAGCTCCCCCCTAAAAAACATCTAGGGGTTTGTTGCATGTTTCAGGACCAGCTGTTCAGCACAAGTAGGTGATGGCACTCCTTAGTTTGCACTCTTCACAAATTGAGTCCTTTTGGGCATTCTGACAACTTTTGTTAAGCAGCTGTACAAATGTCATCTTGCATGGGGGGGGGGGGCGGGGC